TACTACTGCAGACCCAAGCATTCTTTAAACTTTGGGCTATTTTCAATCTGAACACCTGGTAAGACTCCGTCCCTGACAGGAAGCTCTGGATAAGTTGGATGATATGAAATACAGATCCAGAAGATTCAACACAAACATACAGTATGTGTCACTCTTCTCTTCATTTGTGTGACTTTTTTAATGAAAGTTTTTTACTTTAGACATCCCTAAATTGTGAGAGATGATGACTGTAAGAGGAATATTCAGTCCTCTGTACGGGTGAGACAGGGCCTTCAGAAGACGCAAGCGTCATAAGTCTGAATGCCGCTCTCTTGCAGTCTCTTGCTCTACCTGGAATGCTATTTTTGTCTTCACTCTCTGCCTCCCTCTCCAGTTCTCTCTTCCCCTCGCTCTGACTCCTTCTTCCTGTTATGGCGCTAATGCTGAAATATATAATCCTAAAATGCTCCTGACTTTTCCCACACTTAACCCATAACCCTCTGTGAGCTGACCTGTATGTGTGTGCAGGGACGCTGGAACTCAGTCAGAGCTGGGGTGCTGAGAGGAAGTCTGTTTATATAATGTTGTCATATTGAATGTGTGAAATTCACTTTACACAAAGAAAGTCATGATAACTTTTAATATTTTGATGAAGTTTTCATTATGTCAGATTGCTGCAGCCCACTCGGCACCCCTACTTCCAGAGCCTGTGTCTGTATGTGTACCTCTCTTGCAGTTGCTGGTCACTGAAGTGCAGCTGTTCCTTTAGTGTCTGGTATCTATCCCATCTCAGTAGCCTGGTCCCATCATACAGATCCAGCTCCCTGTCGTGGAGTAACCTGCGAACACAAAACACAGTGGAATGAGCTGAGAAATATGTGCTTGTAGAAGAACAGAATAAAAAGACATAGAAAACAGAAGATATTAAGAACAATGATATAAACATCATTCTTAAAATAACACAGCGAGTAAATATTGGAAACATTGGAAATATTTTAGCAAACTGAAGTACCTAGAAAGCACAGCCAGGGTTCCCAGGTTGACCCTGTGTATGCCGTCCAAAAGCAGCAGCTTGCCCTCGATGGCAGCAGTGACCAGTGGAGACGGCCTCCACGCTGTGTCTCCGTTAGGGAGAGTGTACCTCTGCTGAAGAAGGTCCCTGGCTGTCATGTCCTGGAAGTAAAGGATATGAGGGATTAAGAGCAATGTAGGAAGTGTGCTAGTAAATATCACACAGTGGGATGGGATAAAGAGAGCTGAAATTCTTATTGCAATCGTCTATATCTGTAATCTGCTGCTACATTTGATATATCTGCTGTGCACAGCTAATGGCACATTTCTGTTTGTGGGGGAAACGTCTGCGGAGCAAGCCTGTCATATTCACTATCACTGAGTCATGGCAGAGACGGAGGGGAGAGGAGGGAATACAAGCTGAGTTGTACAATTTATTCCAGGCAGTCATTACTGAACTGCTAACTGCTCCACAGCATCAAGACCTTTTTCATTGAGTCAAACGCAGGTGCTATATTTTCCATTTGGTGCTATCATGAAGTACTATCATCAACAGCAGGGCAGGCGCGGCCCATTAAAGGCAAGAGATAAATGGACATCTTTCTTTAACCACAACAGTAAGGTCAGACAGGATAAGGCCAGGAGGACGTCATGGACATTCATAATTTCTAAGCATCATTAACAGGAGGACTGCTGACGGAGTTTCTGGTGTCCTCAAACAAAGGGACAAATCACTCCATCCCTGTCTGTGTAACCTACCAACATAATGAACGCCTGTCTGGTCTGTCCGCGTGAAACCAGCTTTCAGAGCATCAAGATACACGGCCCATACTCCCACACTATGCAACTGTCAAGTATATTCCATATTGTGGATTTTCTCTGAAAGGTTATAATAATAATAAATGATTTCTCCAGGAGATATACACACTGTGATTGCTGTGCCTGGTGGGTCACTCCAGTTAACCTAGCAGGTCGCTGGAGTGAATTTCTCTCCAGGCTGTTTAAACAACCTGTTATAATGTCTGCTGACATGCACAGATTTGATGGCATTTCTTGTATTGACCCTCCCCGTTTTGCTCTGTCCTCCAATAACAGTTTAGCAACTCTTAGTCAGAACCTCAGTCAACTTCCTCCTTTCCTGTACTTAGATATGCTATGTGCTAGGTGCTATATTTATGCTATAATAATTACCCAGACATTGGTTAGATTTCTGTTGAGTGGAACACAACTTTGGTAATGTACTCTGGATTAATTTCACAGTTTTAAAGCCCCTAAAGGAACTTTTATTTTGTGTTAATTCTGAAGGCCCCTGTGGAAAAAAGTGGTAGTGTGTCTGTTTCATTGATTTCAAGGGGAATCCAACCCTGTGACAGGCATTAGGAATAATTATATAGAAATAGCCAATCTTCTCAGCATTCAGCTGTTTTATAACCAGTTAAAAACTAAAACTGTCTACTCTATTAGACAGTACACTTTATATTACAATTCTGAATGCAATACCTTTACTTGTGGTGGGAGTATTCCTAAACTGTGGTATTGCTAATTTTACACAAGTAAAAGACTGAACTAGTTCTTCCACCACTGGTTTACCAAGAGCTAAATGTGTCACCAGAACCTGCTTTCTGCACTCTGTAAACTAATCACCTGTCATGAGAGGAGTATAAGTGGGCTCTCATCTACCTTTTCCTTTCAGGTTTTGCTTTTGCAAAGCTGCTCCCCACAATACACAAGGCAACATTTAATCAGGCTTTGTGGATTTGCAAATGTAAGTTGCTGTACATTGTGCATCTGTGTAAAAGCTTCTGTATGGTTTTATCTTATTCCTTGTTCTGTGTAATATGTTACAAGTGTGTTAATGTTGTGCTTCCCCTCTTGCTCCCTGTGGTCAGCTATCAAGGGAACAGAGTCTTATTCTAAAATAAATTACATTCCTGGGAAATATTATTTTTTAATATTTTTTTGCTTGCAAAAGAATGAGAATGGGTTGTTGTTGTTTTTATGTTTTTGTCCATTGAAGGACAGACACCAACAGATAATATATTTATATTCCTTGCTAGTCTTGAATGTCACTTTGTCTTCCAAAAATGGGATTTTCAGAGCCGACAAGTTGAATTGCCCGGCCAAAGATTCCGCAATTCCCGCAGCACAAGTCACCCCTGACCTCAGCCAGCTAAAAATAGCTGCGGCATGATGCATTAATACATAAGGCTTCAGTACACCCGTTTCCTGCACAATCACCCAGATGACTACATTCCAAAGAATCCCTCACACACACACACACACACAGTCGGAGATTTTACAAAGCTTCAGATTCATAGACAAATATATAGTAACAGCCCTCCGTTGCTCTCTCTCTACCAGTCAGTGTCAGTTTCTGGCAGGAGGCCCTGAGGCCCAGGTAATGAAAGACAGATGTGGGTCTTTTAGCCAAACTGCTGTCCTAATTCTACATCCCTACCCTACCCATCCCTTCTACATCTACTCCATCCCACTGTACTGCACCTTCCCTGGCTCTACATTTGTGACATGTATGCTCTGAGCATTTAGATGAAGTTGGATAGTGTAACACATCTTTAACCATTATCTTCATCATCATCTTTAATCAACTGGGGGCAATTTTTCAAATTGAATTTCTGGGACGAAATGAAAAAAGATCTTTTCTATGAGGATTGTGCACAGCTTTTGTACTGATATAACTGCAAAGGCACTCAGAAGGCAACAAGAAATCATTTTATTAAAGAATATCTGAGTTCAATAGTCTTTAACATGTTCCATAATTATGATACACACTGGCAACACAGGTCTCTCAAGATTGCATAAATGTGACAAAGTAGTAGAGCTAGGGACACCTCACATTTTTAAAATCTGAACACTTATATTCCATGATGCTTAAAAGTGCGCATTTCATTTGTAATTATACGTTTCTCTATCATGAGCTTGCTCCAGACACTGTATCTTTGTGTACCAGGTGCTATTTTTATGGGACATCCTTCATTTCGAGTACTGAAGTGTCTCAGTAATCATATGGGGGCTTTGACATAAAAAGTAATTCTGTATTTGGATATTACACACCATTTCATCACATGCTCTGTGGCGTTTTCACAGATAATAAATTAGAAGACACGTTTTTATTTACCTGGTAGAGCATGACTGGCTCTATGCTATAACCCAGCATCTCAGCGAACTCTCTCGCAATCACTGACTTTCCACAACCCTGGAAAATACAAACTGATTAATATTCAGACCAGAGATCACATGTATACTGTATCTGTGTATAATTTTCATTATATGTGTTAGCTACCTTGGTTCCTATCAGGCATATGTCCTTAGCCATGTGTGATTGCATGATCTCAGCCATCAGCTGGGAGTGGCTTGGTGTACTGATGAAGGTGGGGCTACTGTTGGGTGGACGCAGCTCCTTGGTACCTGCTGGAACCTGAAGTTTAATGGAGACAAGAAATAACCATGAAAGAACAACCAACCGCTGTATCATTCTATAAAAGTTGTTGAAAAATATTCCTTTTAATAAATAAACCATGAATCACAGACTTATCAGCATCACTGGGAGAAAAATATACTGTATGTTCCAACAACACTGTTATCAAACGGTCTATGCACAGCATATTAGAAGCCAAAAGAATTACTGCCACACACAAAAAAATACAACTTCAGAGAGTTAATAAAAGTGATATAATTTGTTTGGCTGGAAGATCAGCACTACTATTCTTAGAAGTATGGAATATCTCTTTTCTCCTAAACTCCGCACAGTAAGAAGAATTACAGACTGATAAAGATGTTCCTTTCAAAAACTCAAGGGATTCAACTGCAGGGTATCAGTCAGGGCTACTGATACAGTGTGTCTGTCTGTGTGTGGCCTGCCATGGAAAAAGGGACATCTCTGCGTAACGTATGACTCACTGACTGTTGTTTTTAGTTCATAATTTGACCACACTCATGGGGACAGTCAGATTATCTAGTCTGATAGTGCTGCAGGAATGAGTTAGATGCCTGAAATAAGGTCTGTGGTAACACAAGCTTAAGAGATTGTTCTACAACATGAAATATGTCAGTGAATACCTACCTGTGAATTTGGAAGCTTTCACATCTTAAAAGGTCCAGTGTGTAGGATTTAATGGCATCTAGCAGGGTCTCACTCGCTTCACCTTCCCTTTCCAAGCACAAAGGAAAAACTACGATGGCCACCAAATGAAGACCCTATTTACAGCCAGTGTTTGGTTTGTCTGTTCTGAGCTACTGTAGAAACATAAGGGCTAACAAGTGTCTAAAAGAGACTACAGAGGTTGTCGGTGACATTAAAACTCAGAGACTGTCTACTCACTAGTCCGCCTTTACAGCCTCATTGTGTTTATACTATTCTAACTTTACAACCTGCACATTTGAATTCCAAGATTTAATTACAAGTTGGAAGTTTAGTGGCGGTGACGTTGATGTCATGTGACCATGGTGTAGTTTGTTTAAAGCCTAACATTAGCTTTTTACTTCTGCTGATCACATTTATGCTTCAAAGATCATAAGTGGTGTTCATTAGTGAAGACTATCTTACTGAAACAAAACTGTATCATAAACCTTTGTTCACCACAGAGCTAATTTCCTGCAACCAATCCAAAAACCCAATGGATCCCATTAGCTTTTTGTCGAAGGAACCATGGCGATGCTAATTTATGGGCTGGACTACAAAAATACGGAATCCCTGCAGCAATTTTTACATCAAAAACAAACAATAATGTAAGAGTGCACAAGATTATTTTCTTAGCCTAATGTCTCTGTCATTTAGTTTCTTTGTTATTCATTTCAACCATTTAAAAGTTACCCTATGGAGTTTTTGACCTTTAGTAGGACTATGGAGCAGGATTTTTGTGTTCTGTTTGTCTCAGGCACACATACAAGGACGCACATGCACCCACATTGCACGTAGATCATGCATTATACATTCCTGCCAATGGTTTCCCACTATTCCACTGATCTACATGTGACAGTAATGGTACACAGCTGTGCACCAGCGAAGGCAGTGGTGAAGGAGACTGCATGATGCAACATGGATGTAAAAGATGTAGGATATAAAATAGTTACAGAAAACCCCATAGGGCATCTTTAACAGGAGCAAACAGTGCGCTTTATCCAGAATCAGAATAAAGCACCCCATTGCCACACACAGGCCTTGTAGTTCAGTGTCCATAGTCTGCATTGGGGCTTTATAATGTATATAGCCAGTCGACTGGTACCTGAAATGTGACGTCCTTGTCCGCGATACGTAATGTGACATCTGCGTGGCCCTCAAGATCCCTGGTAGCGGACAACCTCGTAATGGCGCTGGGTGCTGGCTGAACACGACCATCCAAAAGCTCAAATCTCTATGTGCCACAGAATATGTATAGACCAAAATGAATGCTTTTGAATAACATATCCTATCTTATGTTCACATTAGAGGACACCCCATACAGATGAAAGTGACGTGCACATCTTGACTTACACTGAGTACACCCTCTACAGCAGTGCGCCCATCCTTGCCCAGGATACTGTTGTAGGGGTAAAGTCTGTGGACTAGCTGCTGGGAGGACAGCATGGGGAAAGAGTTCTGCAACAACACAGAAAAGACAGGCAGTCTAGCATCCATGCACTAGTAATTTTTCTTATTCTCTCTCCCTCCCTCTAAGGGACAGTAAGGCAGATTTAGGGTGCCTTGACTCTCACCAGCACATGGAGGGCAGGAAGCAGGTTGTCCACAGGGAAGTCAGGGAGGCCAAGGTTGAATGATTCCTGGGAGCACAGCGTGGTGGCTAGTGACAGCAGCTGGGACACCCTGGCACACAGGATACAAGGCATGAAGAACTACTGACACTCCAAAGACTACAAAAGAATACTCAAACAGGCCAAGGTCTAAGCTTTAGTAAGTGTTTACTTTTAATCCTTACCTTTCTGCAGCAATGTTTGGTCCTGCAGTGTACAACAGCTCCAACTGGTCCTGAAAAGAATATAGAATACACACTATACACTTAGATCTTCTAAGTAGCACTGTGAAAAGTTATACAAGAGGGAGGGGAAAGGGAAAAATCACAGATTTATTGGTGAAAACTGTTTGTTTAGGTGGTATGGTCACAAGATGTGGCTTCAATCTGAAAATGAGACAAGCGGCATAAAATGTAAAAATCTGCATGATTCCCTTGTTGGGAACATTTCTATGGGACTATTTTTTGTTAGAAAGTAGTTCCAATTGTTTGTTTACAGTGTGTTATGTGGATTTTTCAGGGTAATAAAGATAGGATCAGTGGTGAGAACCTTTTACCAGGTCCTTCTTCTTGGTGGTGGGAACTTCTTTAATATAAATGATCTATTAATTCTTGGACTGACCTTGAATGGTAGGTAATAGATGTCTCTGGCCTGGAAGCGAGAGCGGAGAGGAGGATCCAACGGGTTGCCCTTGTACTTGGGGACAGGAAGGCCAAGAGCGATGACCCGAAAGTCCTCACTTACACGGACAATCTTCCAGCTGTCCAGCTCCTCTTTGGTGTGCTCCTGCAATGCATAAACTCCACAATTCAACACTTTTCTATTGTATCCAACTTGGCAAATTCCGATCATTTTATACTAAATGCAATTTTGCATGCAAAGTGCTACAGAGACACAGCCGCATGTAACAAGTACAGACTCTGAATGTCACACAGTATTTATGGCAACAGCATTTTTTCCTCTAAACACAAGAGAAGCACTGTAGGAGTAGTGTGAAAAGTCACTGTTTAAGTGTGAAGATTCAGATAAATACGGCTCCATAAACAACAGCCATGATCATGGAAAATATGTTTTTTCTTAAAATCTCTATAAGATAACATCCTCATACAGAGGATTCAATTATGTCGTACTTAGCTGTTCTTTAAAAAGATCATCATTCTATTTCATTTCCATACCAGGACACCTTAAAGACCCTCAAACCCTCAAAGATGCGCGCTGCTCTGACCTGCAGCAGCTTGTCGTAGCGCTCCGCTGACATTAGGAAGCGTCCGTCCTCCAGCTGCATCTCTCTGTTCTCTAGCAGGTTGTTGAGAACAGGCAGAACGTTCCTCTCTGCCTTCTCTAGCCCCTCCAGGACCAAGACTCGACCCTGTGTTGCTGCCCTTACAGCACACTGCAGAAAAACACATAAGATGTGTAAACTAATCAGTAAATTCAATCAATATTGCAGAGATAATTAGAGATCCGGGGGAAGATGTTGGTATGAGGAAGTGGCTAATTTTAAAGCTAAAGCCTACCCGTTGCAATCAAGTTCATCCTCAAATCTGCTGCTCGATTGTCCAGCACCACCTCTGACCCTGTGTAAATGTTAACAGTGCTAAAAGCATTTATACAAAGAGCAATCTGACTGTGCATCAGTTCTTACTGCCCATGCACTAATAACAACATGAGCCTGCCATAAAGCCTTTCCTGAGGATGTCCTCAGCTTATTGTGTTCAGAGCATCCTGCAAACTACTCCAAACCAAGATTGAAAACAGTCTCAGCTGTTTTAGGAAGGCCTATTTTCTACCACAAAATGTGGGATAAAAAAAACTTGGTTCAACTTGTGTGTGCATGTACATTATATGTGTGTGTATACGCACATCTCTGCATCAAAAAGCACATCTGACGTCAAGAGGCAGGAAACTTTAGCTGTCTGGGTGGACCGCAGAGCAAGTGGCCATATAATTAGGTTAACATGTAAATACGTGGCAGGTTGTGTGGGAAGCAGAGCCATAAAACTATAGTGAGGACCAGATGCTCTATATTTAACCCTTGATCCATTTTCGGCACAAACGCTGTAATCACATAATTGTTAGAAATGTTAAGTGACGCAGGATGGCTAGAGACGGGAAAGCACAGAAGGGCCTTGTTTTCTGCCTGACACTAAATACAGAGAGACATCCCACCAGATACTGAGAAGATTTTAGCAAACATTTAGCAGCGGATGTTATAGAGTCAAATACATAGAATATTGAAAGGACTAGAGATTAGTGGAGCACAGAGAAAAAGGTGGCAGTTAGGGTCAATTAGGAAAATAAAAAATTGAGGGCTACACAAATTCACTCAGAACTGTAATTACACCCAGAAACTACTGTTGTTTTGAGTGTGCCTGTTGGTGACTAGTGTGTTGCTACTCATGACACTCACTACTTCATGATGTATTTTGTAAGTGTGGGTCCTTGGGAGACACTAAATTTCTCTTTGAGCTGAAAAGGTTTGGGAAATCCTAGTTAATGTAACGTTTAATATTGATTCCCCAGTACCTGCCCTGTGTATACTAGTCAAAATTCAACTCAACAGCTTTTGTGTGACTGGAATATGTCTTTTTATATATTTTCAAAACTGAATGATCTAGCATGTAAGAAAAAACAACCCAAATGATATTTAATGCCACAAGGTGGCAAATACAATGATTCACTATTTTTGGCACACCTGACTAACATGCTTTCCACCACAGACACAATTTGAGCTCTCACATATCTATCCTTCATGCCTGATATCCAGTGTGATGTCTGGTTCTAGTGGGTTTCTGTCCAAGAACACAACACAGATTACTTCAAAGTACAATGTCGTCATTAGTTTTGGGTCTTCAGTCATACATCTCTGATGTTAAAGCATTGTTCTGTCCCATTTGCGTGGCCCAAATACCTGGATAATGGCTTCTAATTTTATAACAAACTGTTCCTGTTTTTACCTCCACACGTGCAGTCTCGTCCAATTAAAAATTAATCATGCCATTAACACTCCCACTCCAGTTCTTGCACTTAATGACTATTATTAAAGAACTCTTTTTTGTTTTAAAGGTCCAGTGTGTAACATTTAGGAGGATCTCTTGGCATAAATGAAAACGAGTATTCATAAGTATTTTTTCATCAGTGTATAAGAATCATTGTTTTCCTTACCTTAAACTGAGCTGCTTTTATCTACAGAGGGAGTGGGTCCTCTACTACAAAGTCCGCCATGTTTTTACAGTAGTCCAGAATGGACAAACAAAACAATGGCTGTAGATAGGGCCTTCCCAAGTTTGTAATTTGCAACTTCACTACTAGATGCCCCCAAATCCAACAAAACAGGTTTTTTTTTAATTTTTGCTTGGCTTTGCATGGTTTTAATTCTCAGTTGCCACTCATTTTTACATACACAAGATTATTTGGGGGTTTACTTGCTACATGGTACTGACATACTGTCTGGAAAGTGCATCCAATTAATTTATTTTTAAAAAGAACTTGCTTCAGAGCCTACTTATTGGCTGGCTATACACTGGTTTCAGTCCAAATACAGCTCTAGTGGAGGTGGCAAGCTTTTTATTACAGTAATAGAGTCTTATTAGCAGTGTGGGTTTGAGGTAAGCTGCTTTACATAAGAGCCTGCTAACTGGTGAGAAGTGGCTGGGAATGTCAAAAGTACAACAAGCATGCGATTGCATCCATGTGACTCCATTCTTCATACGAACTTGGTGGGGGGGGATCTTGGACTGAAGGAGGAAAGGAAAAAAAAGAAAGAGCGAGAACTAAAGTAACCAAGAGTGAAGTGGAGGGACAGGAGGGGAGGAAAGGAGTAAGCACAGGGACTGACACGATAAGTCTGAATATAGGGCTCCAAATCAGCACAGGGCCCTGAGGAATACTTGGATGTTCTAGTTAACACACAGACACACACACCTCCTACGATACCAAACTATTCTCAAAGAGAAAAGCTTGCTAATTTGCACCCACATAACTTCAATCCCTCACACAAAGTATCAGATTCTGTAATGTGTACATATACTGACTAATCGCACCCACAGGCACATATTAATACACACACAAGAAAAGTTTTATCCAGTACACCAACTCATGAGATTTGAGAATGAAAATCTCTTCACACCTATTGCTACCATATTGCTGTGTCTATTTAAATCAAATCAATTAATATCATCAGTTACTACCCTTAGGACCAGTGTGTATGACACACATAACCCTCGTTCAAAGTGTGTAGAAGAAGGTAGCCGCAAAACAACAAAAAGGCCCTATGAAGAGCCAGTATTTGGTTTGTCTGTGTCTGTTCTGGGCTACTATAGAAACATGGTGGTTCAACATGGCGGACTCTGTAGAAGAAGACCCACTCACTATGTAGATAAAATAAACTCCTTCAAAAGGTAACAAATTCACAACAATTCCTATATTCAGCTGATTATACACCAATAAAAACATACCTATGGTATTATATTCCATTTCTGACAAATATGCAAATATTCATGGAAACATGTTTTCATTTTCATTACGAGTGTAAGAGAGTTTAAAGGGGTCTAGCTCTCCTTGTTGAAAGAAACAGAAAATGTATCCACCAGCTTTGTGAGTTTGTAATCAATAGATAAGGACGGGTGGACAGACAGGAAATAATGAATCATTCAGAGACAGCTTCCAAGACGTTGGACCAGGACGTGACCATGACTTTTTGTCAAAAGTGTTAATGTCCGGTATTTTTTTAGCATTTGGAACCAAGGCTATGTGACATACAGTATTTCCACTCTTGAGTCCCATTTTCCTGATGTGCTAAAGCAGAAGGTGATGCAACTTCATAGCGCTACCTCTCTTGGCTGTCATGGGAGTGGTGCAGCAGTGGCACGCCTGCAGAGTAGCTGTGAAAGGGGCTGGATTTGTGGTTCTGTACTGGCCAATCAAATCAAACCACCACACCAGCACTAGACGTTTTCCCCAAAATGAAATAAGACTTACTGCAAAGGATGTACACAGAAATAAGACGCAAATTTTGTACTGTATATGGTAGCTGATGATGGATGTGTATGTCAGTTTGTGATGTTTCCTGTCAGGATGCTTTCTATCCCTCCTCCATTGAAGTGAACAAGAACTTGGAAGAAGAATTTGGCTTTTTTAAGTTTCCTTAAGAAGCTTTCTTAGCCAGGGTGGAGATGCAACATGCCCCCCCCCCATAATAGACTGCAGACAGAACACATATACTGTACCTGTCCTATGGCATCATATTAGGCAATCAATTAGTTGATTTCTCTACTCTGAAAGGCCTATTTATGAATTAGAATGTGCTATAGATAGCATTAAAAGGATCTTTCTGGTTTTCAGTCTCATGAACTGTGCGTAAAATATTTGTTTTTATGGAGAGCTCTATGTGGGTATACAAGCATAGTTTTTTAAATAATAGAATTGCAGTAATGCTTTCCCTTATAAAACCATGCCAATCAATTAATATATATAAAAATATATAAAAAAGAAATATCATCATGAGCCACACGGTAACTATCAAATTTGAAAAATCAGCTGGAGCCAAATAAAACTGCCATATCAGCAGGGTGACAGCCCCCATGCTTAATCTGCATTAGCACAAACTGTATAGGCCTGCTTACTTTCTATTATACGTGTATAAGCAAGTGTATGCAGTACAGATATGTTTTTAAGTATATGTATTTCTCAAGTACCAGGGATGCATTCACAGATAAATGTATACATATATGATGTATTCACATTCAGACTTTGTTCAGTTACCACTATACAGTATCACTGAAGTGGAGTGGAGTGACACTAATTAGCCGTGAGCTTTGCTGTTCCAGAAGACCAGGTTTGTGAGTAAAGAATAAATGTGCTGAAGATGAAACACGACAACTTCACCCTGTTTCCATGGAATTTTATATTTTAACTGTTATGCTACTTATTTATTTTTTTCACAGATAAAGCCATGTGCTAATTAGCTGTGGATAATGACATGACTGAGTAAATGTTAATTATCACAGCTTATCATCATTTGTCACTGCTGGCAGGGTTTAATGATGAGGCTCATGTGGATTTGGGGTTTTTCCATTATTGTTTGTCTGTGTTTTGAATGGAGATAAATGGAGGACACAAAGTTCTCCTTAGAGAACCCAGCCTGGATAATGAGGAACTGCTGGTCTCCGTGGTAACTTGACTTACAAAGTCAACAGAGTGTGGGGGTGTATGTTTGCATGTTTGCATAAAGCTTAATCGATCAAAAAAGTGGCATGGAAAGGAACACAGGGGAGCTCTGCGTGATGAGAGTTTATGTGTGTTTGTGTGCTTCAGAGAAGTAGACGATAAGGCACGTTCAATTATTGTTCCACCCAAGCTGCGAATTGTAGTCTCATGATGTTTCAGTAGAAAAAAACCAAACACCAAGACAGAGATATACTCCATGATCGGATTATTATATTAAACTGCACCAACCATGCCAGCTTGACATGGTAGCTTGTCAGAAAGGGGGCTAAATAACGCTCCTAAACCTATGCAGTTTTTTGCATGCAGTCTAAATGTGTTATTTAAGCCTAGTGTACTTGAATATTTCTGCATACTGGGGTCCATAAACAGTGTTGAATACATTGGGTATGACTGAAAAGACTATTGTGGATTCAATTCGCCCAATTGTATTCATGCTTGATGATGTCCGACCACATACTGAGTAGTGATTGAAATGATTATTTTAAAACTTAACCTCACTGTATAAACAGATCTATTGTGACCTCTAGGATAATCCCAGCCTCAATTAACTGTACAAGCACAAACTAGAGACTTCAGTCTGCAGCTGCCCGGTTAGGAAACATACATCCCACTCAGAGAGAGGCAGGCTACATGCTGGAGAGGTCATCTGTTTCACAGAGGGGTAACACATATACAGACAGCCATCCACATTGCCACTCAAAAAACACGTAGTGAGTGCACTCAACAATCACATTCAAATGTAACTGTGTTAAAAATCAAATGGCAAGTGTGGTTAAAAACTTGTTTTATCATGAAAAGTGGTTTTAACGTCAACGTGGGTTCATTTGAAACTCTGCTTGTTAGACAGTGCATAAATCCAGTGTGGAGTTACCTGGTCTATGTAGAAGGCCGTCCCTGAGCGGATCTCTCTCCTCTGTTTCAAGTCAGTCTCTGTGGTGTCTCTGGACAGAGCGACATACTCTACTTCGCGTTTGGTCAACTCCTGGTCAAGAGCATGGGAAACACAATGTTTCATAAAACCCATGGAACAGTTTTAGGATCTTGTTGAGGGATGTGGTTTTATTTTTCAATATACTGATAATTACCTGCTTCTCATGGCAGATACCAATAATAAAAGAACCAATCATTTCACATTTTTGTGTTTTAAAAAGAAGTTCATAACCTGTAGTTTATGCACATCTGATGACATGAAATGCTGAGATGTAGTGAGCAAAAATAGATATTCCATAGCTTTGATCTAACCAAATTCTAACCAACTCACGTCACTATTGGTAACACAACAACAACAAACAACAGTTCTGACTCTTCAAATGTTCTTATTTTTTTCTCTCAAAGCAAAGAAAAAAAACGTTATTATTATTGACTAATTTCAATGTCAGAAAAATACTTCATAAAATAAATGTCCCATTAGCAACCTGCATCCCTAACAATAAAAAAATAAAGAATTCAGCAAATAAATGTCATGAACTAAAACAATAACAACAAATTTTAAGGGTCCAGTTATGAGGTAAAATTAACTCAACTTCATTCAATCTACTTTCAATTTTAAAATGAAATTGGAATAGAACATGTGGAATTTTGCTTCAAATACAAATCTTCCTCTTTCTTTACAATAATCAATCAATGAATTTGAGTGTGTTACTCACGAGGTACTGCATAGCTATGGATCGTCTCAGGGGTCCTGGGGGGCCGATGAGAAACACATCCTGGCCCAAAAGGTCTTTCTGCATAATCCATCGCAGGTGCTGAACCACTGTCTGGGGTAAGGAGTCTGAAACTAGCAAAATGAAGTTTCAGTAACTTTTCTTTCGTCTGTTGCCGCTCTTCCTCTCACTTTATGCAGACATGTCTGAACATTTACACACACACAGAAAAAAATACATACTGTGTTTGACAGGAACAAGTTCTGGATTCCGGGGTGTTTTGAGTTTGTATGAGATCTCTCCAATCTTCACTGTGTCACCTGCAAAAATCATGCAGTGTAATCGATACATGAGAAAGTCCTTCACTTCATTCAGGTCATACAGACTCAGGGTGCTGCTATTGTACATGTTGGATCACTAGAAAGGATCTGCTGCTCTAAATGGAATGGAGCCTTAATTAGTATCATTGGTAACACCTGTGTTTACCCTACTGTTTTATGTCAAAATGGCTGCTGTTAAAAAGGGTCTATTCTAGTGATAATCAGGGCAGTACAGTCCTGATATGTAACTTTTATTGTTGTTAGCCATGCCTGATACCTTTGACATTATTATTGCTGATAAAAAGCAATGGTTTGCACCTCTCATGTAACCATCAGTTTTTGATTTGAGACTTTTGCATTGATGGAGTCACAGAGCTAAGCATCATTTTTACCTAAAATATTAATAATTATATTGCTAATCCAGTTGGTGTTACAAAATATTCAGCCTGCTGCACAATGGACCTTTTTCACAGCCACATAGTAGGGTAAACATAGGTGGTACTAACTTTCCATTCAGGTCAAACGGAGTCAGGGGGCTGCTATTGTGCCTGTTGGCTCACGGGAAAGGCTCTGCTACACTAAATGGAATGGAAACTACTATCATTGGTAACAACTACTATTTAATGTCAAAATGGCTGCTTTATAAAAGCTGTATTGGCCTTTTTCACAGAGGACAATAGAACATATCACAGTATTAAAAACAACGGTATAATACAATTAAGGTTGCTTAATTAAACAATTTAGTTGCTTCCGTTTCAGGGTCCTGGTATTGTGCATGCCGGCTCACTGTCACTCTGTCATGACTTACATGGCACTAGACTGGAACAAAGCCATTGTTAATGTTATTAGTAACACCTGTGCTTTTCCTGCTGTGACAAGACGAAATGTCTGATGTGAAAAAGACCTACAAAGAAGTTGCATAATGGCAGGCGATGTAACACATGCTTGCTCTTTGTACGATAATGTATTGTATATTGCTGGTGTTTAAAAGTATGTAATAATATTAATTCTTATCAATAAATATTACATTTTAAAAAATCAATTTCGGTGAATTATCCTAGAAAACGATACTTTTGGCTGCCATCTTTGTTTGGTCGACTATTCCAACGCGTGAAGCGTGTAAAAAAGTCCTCTCTATTGCCCATATTATTCTCTATTGACATATTTTTGTGGCGGTTTGGCAGAAGAGGCTTTGAACAACCTGGAAATGTAATCAAAACAGCGATACAGTAAGTCTTGTCAAATCACCTATGCAGTTAAGTTTCTAAGTTTGGTTTGTATCCACCTTTAAGAAGACAAAACATAACGTTAAGCTTAGCTATGTGACCTAAATATAACACGTTTCAATTGCATAGACGACGATTAATCAAAGTGTATGTTAAAGACTATAACTGGGGTTAGCTGGTAACTTGACATGGCTTTAACCTTTAACCTACTAGCTAAGTATCCATATTCCTAGTTCCAAGTCTGCTCACGTTAAATGCTAATAACATACTTGTCATCTCGTTGTGCTCAATATTGTCATCTAGCAACTACGCAGTTTAATTTCTGCCCAAAGTGGAATAGCTAACGATAGTTTAGAGCTAACTAACGTTAACTTATGTGTCTTTCTAGCCATTATCATACACCCAATGGTCGTTTGTGACCACAGAGGTTGAAAACAAGTTCAAACATGGGCTCTATTTCCCCGCTTGCTGTGTCAGCACGGGTACAATCAGGTTGCAAACAGGTAGGTTACCTGAGGATGTGTTGATAAGTTTGACCTCATGTGTTCTCCACAGCCAGCCGTCTCTTCCCAGGACGGCACCCAAAATATTCCGCATTCTTCTCGAAGCGACGGCCGCCGCCGAGCCGCCACATAGTATCTGCGAAGGCATACTTAAACTATGCTGCTTCCATGCAAGATATAGTAAAAAAAAAAAAATCCACAAGCTTTTTATCTTAGTTATATTCTAACTGGCCTTATTACCATTTCATAACACCTGCCAGCTCATTTTGTGGGAGCCGGAAGATAATAAAAGAGGGACAAATCCGGGGCTAAAGTCTTCCGTAGTAGTTTCCATTTTTGACAATGGTTCCGACGCATTTGCAACATTAACAACATCTATTAACAGTTGTTTAAAGTTGATTAAAAGAGATAAACAATAAATAAATAAAGAAGATAAATAAAAGTGCAATAATAATAATAATAATAGCCTAATAATAATACAATATTATTGATATTCCATATTATTAATAATACCAATATATGAATTTTGTATTACCAGCTTCTCTCTTCGACAAACATTTATCTCAATACATCCTTAATGTTTTTAATATAGTATAAATCCAAACACAAATATTATTCTGAATGAAGAAACTAGGGGCCACAGAGGCGTCATGGGTGGTCGCGAAGCCTTCTTGATTTTAAGGGGTGTACAAAGAAATTATGCACTGTAGACATATCTTAGCATTTCAGAATTTCATGGATTATTATATATGTATAAACCGATAGACTGAAGACTTTAACACAAGCTACATTCACAGAGCCTTCACTCTTCACAGCCTCGTCCTGCATTAGAAAGGTACGATATAGGAAAGGGGTCCCTTAAGGAAGAAGGTTGGGAAGCACTGGTCTAGGGCATACTTTATACAAAAATGCACTGCATAATTGTTTCCAGCATATAATCATATGTATATATGTATATAAATAATTAACTGTATATAGTGTTAATTATTTTAAATGTTATTCTAATATGAATTTCATTATATTGTCTATGTCTGTAGCAGGAAGGAACAGCAAACTTTAATTGCATTGTACAAACTTGTGTTGTAATGATGAATACATTTACTAAATGTTTCTTTACAAAAAACAAGATAGACATAAAAACCATACTGTATAAATAAAAATGAAAAAACTCTAAATAATTATCAAAATAAACAAATATTCAGCCTTTGAGTTCACAACGTGTCCAGTGAAGAGACACGGGGACTGGGGTGAAATGAATAAACTGGTGTGATTAATTGCATTAGCAATACTTAAATGGATGACGTAATTTAAAACACACTCACACATAGGTCTAGTCTTGTGCACGCGCACACATATAGCCCACACACCCCCCCAAACTCTAGTAGCGCGTTTGATGCCCGCCGGGCCGTGACAAGGAGCTCCGCTTCGCGCGCGCGTTTAAAGCTGGTTTGACATATCGTCACGTGGAGCGCCGATAGGCTCGGCCCTCGAGAGAGAGCTCAGCGGAGGGAGAGGAGCAGGCGGGAGGAGAGCGGCGGCGGCGGCGGTGTTGTGGTAGTGGAGGGAGGACGAGGCGAATTAAATCCCATCCTTTCAGCGCGCATATGAGCGGTGTCAGCGGGCGGTGAGGCAGGCTGTGAATCCCTCCACCTTCCTCTGATTTCGGTTCTTTTCTCCCCGGAGCGGACGGAGAGGTCTGGGACTATGGAGGATGTCTACCATTACACCCGCAGCCCTGCCTGGGAGGAACTGGTTAGTACAAATTCAACACTGGAGACTTTTTTCTTATTCACTCGGGTTCTCATTCCACTACCAGCCTGTTCAGTTTGCCCAAAAGAAAGCAAACTGTTAGACTTCTTCTAATGCACTTATATGTCACTTAGACCCTAAGTGTGAGTTCGCAGCGACCTTGTCTTACACTTTGGAGGTGCTTCATCCTCTTCAGCATGTTTGTATGGCGTGCTTTCATTTCTGTTGCCGTGATTTGTAGCCTTTAGTGGACTGCTGTTCCCATTTGAGTTGTATGTAGGATGTCTTGATTTCTTTATAAGGTAAAAACAAAAACTTTAACATTTCCACTCCTTGGGTTTCACCGTGGTTACGTTGATTCTCAGATGAAAGAGTGCGGGGGAGATTTTTATGTGTTCCCATTTCCTTGTGGAATCTAAGTCTTTTGGTCTTTTCCACTGCATGGCAATGAATTGAATAACTCTGTCATGTCAAATGAATTTAGTCGATCAGTCACATTTAGAACAGGCGCCACTTATTCACAGTGGAATAAGAGCTTGAATTTGAACATTTACCACTATTACTATATGCATGTACATATATAGATTAACACAATAACATAGATAGCATTACATTATAGTGTGTGTCTATATTAATATGCTATAATAGGCGATATCACGAGAACTCGTCGGAGAGCAGCTTTTTACTGACTGATTGTGATATTTATCTGTAGTGGTTAGGCCTACTTAGAATACACTTCTTGAGCATAAAAGTTGACTTTAGTAAATAGTTTGCACTTTATTTTTGTGGCACAGCTCGGGTGCAGTGTTTGTGTTAAAGCAGCCGCTAGGGTCTGCCATGCCACGGACATGTCCACCGGTTCACGGAGTGGACGAGGCGGTCTCTAGCCTCAGTCTGGACTGGCCGCGCTGGCTGGCTGGCTGGAGCCACAAGCATCAGCCAAGCAGGGACCGAGGGGGGGTGTTTTTTTTTTGTTTTGTTAATAAGCTGTGGAGCCCATCCCCACTGTGCCGCGACATGCTACATCCCCTGTGCGTTTACCAGCCCACACATAGCCCGGAAAACACAGCCGTCTTTATACAGAGGCAGTGAGAGATGACAGCGAGGAGAGACGCTTCTTCCCAGCCGCCGCACAGCTCTCGCCTTCAGGAGAGGAAGGGAGCGGCGGCCCGTGCGAAGGCTAACCCCGATTGGTTTTATCCCTCCCCCCGACAGGAGCCGGAGAAACTGCCGGCGTCCGCGGCGGGGATCCATGCCCATGTGGTGGGGGCTGTCGCCGGCTCCGGTGGCGCGGACGAGTCCTCTGACAGCGAAGCGGAGCAGGAAGGCCCACAGAAACTGATCCGGAAAGTGTCCACCTCAGGACAGATCAGGAGCAAGGTAAGACACATCTGCAGATCTCCGTCTTTCTCTGGCTTATATGAATGTATCTGACCTACCTGCTGCTGCTGGGCCATTCAGGAGAGATGTGTGTTGCCTGCAGGTCCTAATAATGCACACTGCCCCTCACTATGGTGCTCTTTAATGGTGTGCCATGTAGGCTTATCCAGGACAAGACCACTTTATTTTGTTTTTGCAGGCTTTGCGTAAACAACGTATGCACAAGTGTGAAATAGAAAAACAAAACTTGCTAAAACCTGTTGCTTTGATCTCTTAGTAAGTTTAAGTGTTGGCAAAATAGTGCAACCTCAGTAAAGGTAGCCCATAGCTCATTTGATTGATTTTATTTTTTATGTGTACCAGTGATAATAATAATACTGCGTTAGTTCATCTTTTTTTTCTGCAATGCACAATATTGTTTTGACATTAATTTCGTTCTAACCACTTTACAGTAAGCCAATAATCTGTTTTGATGTTAGAAAATCCACAAAGTTGTGTATAAATATTTCCCCCTCTTTTCATAACTGCCAGACGGCATGTAAAGTATATACATGCAATGCGGCAGATTTAAATCAGCTTAAATAATAAATAGTTTCACAAATAAAATGATTTGCTGCATTTGAGGACCAAGTAAGAGGATGCTATGCTAATTCTCAACTCTGACACCTAAGCTTTGTTGGCCCACTCTGTAAATGAGCGCCATGCTCCCTCACCGATGGTTCCACTTCAGACTGCTCTACTCCAACCCACCTGCATTATTCAGCACAAGGGTATATTTAGAGACTCTGGACTGAGGAATGTCTGGTGAAACCGTTCTTATGCAAATGCCCCCACCAGTGACTGTAGTGCTACCTAGAGGATATGGTGCACACCTGCAACTAACACTATACTCATTTTATATGAATGAGTTAGTTTTAAATACAGTTTTGTCTACAAATTGTAAACTTAACGGTACAAAAAAGCAAGCAAGTCCTCACATCTGAGAAGGTAAAACCAGCAAACTGTAATTCAATACATAATAAATAATGTATTACCAAAGCTGTAGAAGTGTGGTAGATAGATTTTTTGTCATTTGACAGTTTCAGCATTATTATTATGTTGGACTCAATCCCCAGCCGGAGTAAAGGCTGATATAATACACGGTGTAAATGTAAACACAGATTCAGCTGATGATGTTTGTTGAAATTTCCTGAAGGACCGTTTATGGTGAGTTGACTTTTCCACGCACGCAGTGATTCTTTACTCACCTGTCGCCTCTGAAGTTATGGCGGGAGTTTTTAAAAGCGGATTAAAGATGGACTGACATGTTGGCAGAGAGCCCAGATAGACCTAATCTGTCCTTCCAAACTATATACGGTGCTCTGCATGTAACACTAGTTCATACCGCTATCACGATGGTATACAGCACTTCTACTGTAATTGTATCAGTGTGCTTAGCATGGTGACATTGTGTTAATAAAGGTCTCAGAGTTGTTGTCGTGTGGGTCAGTGGGTTTGGCCTGTGTGTGTGTGTGTGTGTGTGTGTGTGTATGCTGAGAGTTACTAATGGATCATGCAGGCACTGACTCACTGAGTGTTGTTCCACTGGGTTGTTTGCTCAGCTCTGGACTGTGTGAGTGTGTGTGTGTGTGTGTGTGCACATGCATGTGTATGCTGGCCCATCACATTGTCCATGTCCATCCCTCTCGCTCCACTATCTCTCTGGTTATTTGGTTGCCACAGACAACTACATCTTTCGTCCCTCATTGGCCGACTCCATGGCAATGCTGTCTGTAAAAACGGCTGGTTTGGTTGAAGTATGCCACAACAGGTCACATCTACTATCTTATCAGATGTGCCCTCTATGTTTCCATTTAGTTTCAGTTTGGGGAACATTTCAAGTTGTCGGTAAATCAAAGCAGACAAGGAGCGAGAAGGAAAAGTCAGCAAGTCTGCAGAAATGTAGTAAACCTGCCAATGGAGGCTGGTTGTTTACCTGTAAATGTAACCTGTGTATGGAGAATTGCCATGCATTTAGACAGAAGCAAGCATGCTGTTTTATGAATATCACAATTATTTAACATTTCATCACATTCTTGAAACATATTTTTGAATTTAAGAAAGTCTTAACTTCTGGCTGAGGCGAACTGCCTTTTGTCAACTATTGTTGATAGCCACATATAAACACATCCTGGCAAATCAAGATATTGGCAGCTGTGAATAGTTGTTGTTGAAGCAGGTATGAGATTATCCCTGCCTGATGTTTTGAGATCTCCCATGTCAGACAGAGAGAGATGGGATTTGACCACACATAAAGGGAACTTGATACTCTATCAAACACTGCCATTTCTCTCTTCCTGTTTCATGATGTGAATGCAGTAACTAGTATTGTTTTAAATGCATTTTTTGCATTAAACTAGCTAATTACTATAAATAGGAAAACGTGGTAGAATCCGACAATATAATGCTCACATAATATGCGAGGTTGAATAAGAGTCTTTTCATAGCCTCTCCTCTCCTGTCATCTCCACTCTCAGCCCCCTCTCTGTCTTTTCAGGGTGTGTTGTTGCTGCTGAAGAGGACTTATAAACTTGTGACTAATAGTGTAGCTGTGTGATTGAAAGCCGAGCTAATGGCATGGTGGAGCCTGCTGCTGTTGCACAGGGGAGCTCTGCAAGCCTGACATAGAGTAACCCAGATCAGATAGTTAGATAAATCAGTTCAATGGGGTTGGGATGGGCCCTTGTAGAGAATATTCCTCTTCAGCCCATGTTTCCATGCATTGTGACTTACATTTACAGGAAGAAAGGCTGACTGTTAAATATTCTTGGAATCAGCTCTGGATTGAGTCAGTTGGTGGATATTTACTTTTTTGAGATACATTATCTATTTTGCAGGAGAGATCTGGACAAAATGGCAGTGTTGAGGAGATTACACAAAATCTACCTGCTGATTTTTGCCCATTTCATTGAATTGCTCTTTGTAATATTACCATATGGAAGACACTCAAATGGAGAAACATGTACCCAAAGCCTTTCTGAAAGTGAAAACATAAGCAAACACTTTTTTCTCTTCTGAAAGAGTACTTTTACATTTAAAAGTTACATTTCAATTTAAATCATGTGACCATGGGGGTGGCGCTGTGGTGCAGTGGTTAGCTTCCTCCCATAATCCAAAGATACTCTGCTTCTAAATATTATGTAATTACTTTGTCAGTATTCTATACCGTACTTTCATGTACAGAAATAGTAAATGTACATAATTATCTGTCTAATCTGAAGCAATGTATATTTTGAGTACCTTTTCTGTCCAAAGCTGTAGCTGAATCCAATTGAGGTAATTGTATGTAAATTGCTGTTAACATAACTTAACATCCACTGTACCCACTTGACACATGTGTTACTACCCGTATACAGTATGTAGTCCAGTTGCACAAAGGAGATCACAGACAGCAGAATTATCCCTTACTAGCTACTGGATTGTAATTTTCCCATCACCATGGTGAAATTTTAGCATCTGGTGGGAGTTGGAGGAGGACAGGCATAGAATTACAATTACACCCAACAGAGAGGACAATGCACTAAGACAGCTACAGGAGAGTGGCGGAGGTGCAAGGGAACCAAGGGAGAAATTGAGAGATTCAGCACTGGTCTGTAAAAGACTTGATTGTCCTGGCTGCACTCAGGCACTCCAGTCTTACTCAGGAATGACACATGAGTCAGTAATGGAGGTTTAACAGAGCCTAACTACATGGAATGATTCCAAAGACAGTGGGCTTCTCTCAGCAGCCACTCAGCATCCACTAGGGACAAATAAGTAAGCAGCTGTCTTTATAGACTGACCAATTACAGTCACAGCAGTTTAGTCTTATCAGTCATGAGTTGAAATTGCCAGACAGGAACAGGTTTTCTTCTGACAAGCTGAATTATCTCTTTTTTTTATACTGTGTGTAGGTGCAAGAGCATACATGTATACCTGTGTGTATGTGTTATCAAAAGCTTCTGCATTTAGAATTAGGGATGTCCGATAATATTGGCCCTCCGATATTATCGGCCGATATTCACTAAAAATATATTCTGATATTATCGGTTATCTTTTGGTTTTTAATAACCGATTTGTTTTGTTTTCTTGGTAATGCTTTTCAGGCTTGTCCGACTTGCATTAATTCAGCTATGGGGTTTTACGCTGTTGGGCGCTAATGACTGTATTAACATACAACAGAGACATCTGCTAGAGCCTTGTTTGTTGCTAACCGTGGCTAACAATGTGGCATATAATCAATGGTATTAAAAGCTGAATGATTTTTTAATATTGTTATTACACAAAGATGTAAGTGTCTTATATGACTCTTGTAAATTTTATTTTTTTTTGATCGCGTGCTAATAGCTGTTTCTTTAACCAATTTTGTTACTATATCTAATTGGCTTAGAATGTATCTGAGAGTCTACCTTCAGTGTGGATTAATATCTATTAAACACTTAACTAATACTAGCGTTTAGCTATTGTCGATGTGAGTCGGTGTAGGCGCAGCTTTGGCGTATTTAATTAGCGAATGGGTGGAGATGGAGTTGAATTTGTTCTCTTTATTTTGTCACCAGACAGTGTTTACATTAGTGTGGTAGAGAGTCCATTTGTATTTTGTAATTGTAGTACTTATGCTATTCCAGTGGGGGCAATCGACAATTGAAGATTTAAGCATTAGTTATATGTCCTATCATGAGTTTGAGGGTAGGAGAGGGTGTACTGTGTTGTTGGTGTGAGAGATTAAGCCTCTGCATATTGGATCGGATGCGGTGTGGTTGTATCGGTATCTGAAATGATATTTGATCAATATCGGTATATATCGATTATTTCTCTAGTATATATTATTGCCATATCGAGCCATCCCTTATTTAGAATAACTAATAATTTACATCTAGTACTTGGACAATTGTAGGTCTTGATTTTATGTGCGAGTTTGCCTGATAGAATCAGAAAATGATAGTCAGTGCCAACTCTTTTGATGACAGATTAATAATTTTTAAAAAAGTTTTAAGTCTCTTTCATTATAAACTGGAAAAAATTGTGTTTTTGACTGTTGGTCATACAAACATTTTAAAGGGGCACCTTGGACTCTGGGACATTCTATTTTGACTATTTTTTGATGTTTTGGACTGAATGGGTAATTGACTAATTGAAAAGATAATCAACAGATTAATCGATAATGAAAATAATCATTGGTTGTAGCCCCATTGATGTTCCTGTTTCACATAATGATTTGATACCTGGAATGGTGACATGTGAAGTGGATCAAGGGTGGACTGGTGTATGTATCACGTGTTTTGACGCGATACCAAGTTGTATTTTAAATCAAACCAGGATCTTTTCCCAAACCGAACCAAACTGCACCCGTCACCTGAAATGTTTCTCAGCAAGCTTTATTACGGAAGTGTCACCAGGCGTTTCGGATTTATTACTGCTAACTGGACCACACTAGAGAATACCATGTTAGTGTCATGTTTTGCCTCTGCTTGGTGTGAAAAGTACCTGGTGGACAGGTGTGTGTATTAGCCTACACGCTTTTGCGTGATCCTGGTTTGGTATTTTTGGATCAATGAACGTTTTTTTCCTGAGATAACAGGTTGTCAGACAAATGGGGTTTTTGTCCAATGGGACATTTTTTAGACTATTGCGGTTTCGGTATAATGAGCTGTCGGAACGATGAGCAGCCCCCATTAAAACACTTATAAAACAATTAACCAGAAAAGGAGGTGTAAAGTCAGGCATTTTTATCAGATTAATTAGAATGAAATCTCAGTGAGGCCCAGGAGGGACTGGTAATTGGTTTAGGACATAGTGCTCTGGAGCTTTAAGGTTAGAGACAGGCCATACCATTAGTATAAGGGAGTCTATTGTCGACGAGTTAGCCTTATCTTCAGTTCATAAATGGTCAGGTCCTGCATGAACTAGCTATGTGAGTAAGCTGTTTGAATGACTATTATTCTGGGTATCGTCAAAGGCAGGACGTAGGTCTGCTCCTGCTCTGCTCTTATCCACCAACCACAGCTGCTGGACTCATTTGAACTGCCTGTGCCTTTGTGCCTTTGTCCATTGTATAAGCGTGTGTGTGTGTGTGTGTGTGTGTGTGCTGTTTGGAGTCTGTGTGTGTCACCCCGTCAGCGGCCAGGCAGAGTGTGGGTGTAAGGTACATGGTGCTCAGGTTACTCATTTTGCTCTGGCACAGGACACGCTCTCTGTCTCACTTCTTAGCCAAAGAGAGGAGCAGTGCACAGAGGCAAGCAAGAAGGACTATTTATAGATCACTTCTGGCCTACTTGGCAACAGGAAGGAGATGAAGACAAGGAAAGGAACTATGGAGGCCAAGGAGGGACAAAGTAGAAAATTGAACATCCAACTAGAACAAAGTCACTTGTGCTTCTCTGGCCGGGCAGAGAGGAAGTCCCACTTTGTGACTTTGGTAGCTTGGAGACTGATAGTTTCTCCCCAGACACCAAAACACAACCTCTGGCTATTAAAAGCTTGACTTTGCTGAAGTGAAACCCACTGAATGCACCAAAGCAACCACTGCACACTGTAGGTTTTCCTGAAGATTATATGAATTGAGTCTATTTGTGTCAATATTAGTACAGCTCATACTCATGCTGTGTAATGACTCAACTCCCCAGTTTAGAGTACGCAGTGCAGCTACTCACTCTCTGTGTTTGTCTCAATCAGTCATGAGGTGTTCATTAAGCTTTTCAGCTATCACTGCACTCCCCCTCTTCCAGTTGGATTAGCTGTCCAAGCAGCTGATCATACAGCCTATATGTGTGTATATGTTTACGTGCATGTGTTAGCATGTCAACAGTGGTACTGCGAGAAAGAAACCATCAACAACACTCTGCCTTGTGTTTGTTACACAGTTCCCTGAATGCATTTCTCAACCTCCAGTATACTCCGGTAGCCTCAACACATCTAAATGAGGAGATGACTTCATCTGCCTTGCTGCTGTATTTCAACCCTGTTTTTAATGCAGACAGAGGAAAGCAATAAGTCCTTATATGGTAATGAGCGTTGAGGTACTTCACCTTAATCCACTGCAGGAATGCAGTCTTCAGGCCGTACCTACGGAAAGGGAAGTTGGGAATTAGGGTAGGTAGACAGCTGTAGCAGAGAATTTGCAGTGTTTTGAACAAACGCTTTATTATAATTTAACAAAAGTATTATGTTCTAATTCAATAAATTAAAAAAAAAACAACAACACTAATACAGTAGATTTTTATACCGTAGATAACACCATATACCCAGGGGCGTATCTAGAGGGGAGGCATTGGGTTTGGTGTTTGGTGTCAAATGTTGTCAAATTTAAGATATTAATTTAGATTTGTTTTAAACATGTCAAAAACAGAAATTAAATTAATGATTTATTTTAAGTTAAGTAAAGTTCAATAAAAAAGACATATTTGGAAAACTGTCTGTAGATTTGGAAATAAAACTATTTATTGATTTCTAATGCCACCTTTAGATATTTCTATTCAGTGTTTTGCAACAATAATGTTTTTTTCAAATATCTTCATTTAGGAGCTATTCCAAGCAAATATTGATATTTGTGATTGATTGTGATTAGATCAGCAGATATCGCTGATAAGATAAGATATACCTTTATAATCCCCCGTAGGAGAAATTCAAATTACACACAGCAGCATTGGCGAATATAGTGCAATAAAAAGAGTACAGTGTACATACAACAGTATCACAAATAAGAATACTACAAAATATATTAGAAAATCTAAAACTATAAATGAAAAATATATACACTATATGCAATGTGCAGTACAATGGTGTGCAAAATATTTAGAGCAGCTTGACTAAAAAAACTAAACTGTACATGTGCAATTTATGATAAATTATATAAGTTAGGTTGAGGCTTTGAGGCTCGGGGCTGGATCAGTCTACCACCACTTAAAGTATCCATGACACCCTCTGGACCCCCATCAATATTTCTCTAGATCCACCCCTGTGTATATGGTATCAGTATACCGCTGCAAACCTGGGCAAATTTTCTTACTTTCTTACTTTAACTATAAAATGTCAGAAAATTGTGGAAAATGTCCATTACCATTTCCCTGAGCCAAAGCCCAAAGATATCGACTTTACTGTCATATACAGCAAAAAGAAAAGCAACAAATCCTCTCATTGAGACACTGGAACTAGAGAATATTTACAATTATCAAAATAGTTTAATTGTCTGTCAATCAACAAATAAATGAATTGACTGATTATTTAAGTAATGAAAACTATCAACAGTGACGCTATTTCTGAAAGACAGAAATTGAATTTTTGTGAATGGAGTTTTTCATCTCTTTTCATCATTTGCAACAATTTATATGATGTCCCATTATGCCTCTGTATATGCCTGCTTCATCCCTGTGACATGCCAGTTTGTGCTGTATATAGTGTGTACCCACAGTGAGCCTGTACTCTGCTGCTGTGTTTAAGTTGACACAGCTGGTGGGCAGGATGTCAGCTTCAGGCCTCTGTCTCTGTTTGTAATTCTCCCCTTAGAGAGCAGCCTTCCTTTGCTATAAATAGCCTCTGCATATGTGTGTGTGTGTGTGTGTGTGTGTGTGTGTGTGCGCACCCCACCTCTCCTCTGTGTGCCCAGAGAGAATGATGTTCTTATTATCCTTCCCATGTCCACTGTTCCATGTCTCACTGTATTTGCTCTGTATGTCCAGCGTGTGTGTTAATGCGTGCAAGATGATGCAGGCTGTAATGATGATGAGCGTGTGTCTACCGTGTCTTACATGTAGAAAGGTTGATCTGATGTGACACACACACACTTATCTCAAGTGTAAAATCAATTAGCATTTTTCTCCTGCCTTGCTTTCAAAATTGCCCTGAAATGTTTCCTGCGTTGAACATTGACAGCGCAAGTCTCTTTTTAGATTGTCAAACTTGCATGGTGGAAGACATATTTGTGTTTAGTTCAACAGATGGCCGAGGCAGCAGGAGCAGTCAATGGGATGCCGTCCCCCCCTTCTCTTTTCTTTCTCTCCTTCTATGTCCTCTGTTCATTTTTCCCTCTGGCCCAGGGGGAAGGGGTTGAGTGACAGTGATGTGTGTTTACAGCTCTTCAGAGAAATAAGGGGTGGTGTGTGTGTGTGTGTAATGGGTTTCCTTTCTTCTTCACTTGTTGGTGTCTCTCATGCGTAAAATTGCTGCTCAGATTCACACATACACACACGCATGAATGGCACACACTTTTTTATCTTGACAGTTTCCTGTAGATAAAAACAAGCGGGTGTTCTGCATCTGAGAGCAAGAGGCAAGATGAGTGTGTGAAAGAGACTTTGTGTTATTTTCTGATGGGACCTTTCACTTTTTGCTTTCATTGTGTCTTTCCTCCCTCCAGACGAGTATAAAAGAGGGATTGTTGCTGAAACAGACCAGCTCGTTCCAGAGGTGGAAAAAGCGCTACTTCAAACTGAGAGGCCGAACTCTCTACTACGCCAAAGATGCCAAGGTAAGCTTGTGTATCCCCACATGTACATACTGGAAGTAGCCACAGGTGAGCAGGATAAATGCCCTCTGTCTATTAATTCACTTAGTTTGGATGGAAAAGCTCGAACTGCCAAACTGCTATTAGTGTTGCTCTTCAATGTCTGCCCTCTAATCCCACAAGTGTCTGGCAAAGTAGCTTTTAGAGGTTCAGAGACAAGCTGACCATAGTAAAGAAGTGTTTCTACAATTTGGGAAATATGCCTATTCGCTTTCTGCTTGAGAGTCAGATGACATTGATACCACTCTGATATCTGTACGGTAAATATGTAGCCCGAGCCAGCAGCTGGTTATCTTAGCTTAGAACAGAAGTCCTAAACATGGGTGAAAATCTCCTGTCCAAAGGTAGCAAAATCCATCTTCCAGCACCTCCAAAGCTTCTAAAATAATATTTCATATCTTGATTGTTCAAAACCGAAGTGTAAAAATATCAGTTTGCTGTTTTACAGGGGTTATGTTGCAGACTATCTCTTGGCCAGGACCAGTAACTTCCTGGGGCCTCTGCTGGTTGCCTAGCAACTGGCCCCAGCCTGGTGATATAATTTGTTAATTAGTGAGCTTTAGAGGAGCTGGTAGGCATATTTTGTTACCTTTGGACAGAGTCAGGTTTGTCGTTTCTCCTTGTGTCCAGTCTGTATGCTAAGCTAAGCTAACCTGCTGCTGCTAGCTTTAGCTTCATATTTTTTCATATTTAATGTAATCCATCTACTGCACAGTAGCTCACATTTTCCTGATCAAATTTTTTTCGATCTTTTATTTGCCTTCCTTGAATTTTTTTCCCTTTCAATACCTTACCTTTTCACCTGTGTTTTATTTTAAGTGCATCTTTGTTTTGAACTTTTGAACTTTTTACTGTTGTTGACATCTCTTTCCCCTTTGCTTCTAACCTAACCTCCCTGATCTGGATCATGTGTGCGTGCCTGTGTGTATGTGTCTGCACATGCACTAGTCTGGCAGTGCCCTGGCACGCTGGCAGGAGCGGGCGCTGCGCAGAGTGTCCAGGAGTCGCGTGTGCTGGCGAGTTCTGTCCGTGTGCTGGACGGGCGCGCGACGTTCCCCCCCACCTCTGGGTGCCAGCGGATCTGAGGAAGGCCTAGTGAGAATTCGGGTCAGCACAGCCCAGCCAGGGGCCAGGGGCCAGACCACCACAGCAGCTTAACCATTTCCCACTTACCCTCTCACCTATATGTGATAGTGCTGCATTTGTGTCATATGGTGTTAATGGGTCAAGACAGGTTTAGTATCTTAACAGTGAGGGTTGAAAATACATGATAAGATGCAAAATAACATAGATAGACAGAGGGTGTCATTCTGGGAAGCCATTTTGTGGATGAACTGAGGAAATATAGTTTTTTCAGCAAATTCCACACATTCCAGCTTTTTGGAGGTGAACAATTGACCCTTCCTAAGTCCCGCACCTTTTTGTTTTGTGGTCCAATAACATTTCAGCAAGACTCGGACAGCTTTCTCCTTTCCTGTATTTAGATATGCTATGTGCTAGGCTAATCTATGATGAAAAGACAACCACTTCTTGAAGATGGTTAAAAGATGAAAGTGACATGTATATTGTAACATCTTAAGTTAGCCAACATCAGTAAATTGCTAGCTAACTAGCTAATCTACATCAATCCGTAGCTAGCTAGTTAGCAAAACTCTTGCTAATTAGGTAGTTAACTATGTAGATTAGGTAGCTAGTTAGCTAGCAAGGTTGTGTTTTCAACATAGACAAACCTAGTATTTAGCATATCTAACTACAGGAAAGGAGAAAACTGATTATTGGTTCCAAAAGGCTTAGGACAGGTCAATCGTTACTACCATATCGTTATTACCATATGATATGAATGCACATATATAATATGAATATAACCCCAGGTAGGGTAGCAAAACATGTGTATAGACTATAAGGCCACACCTTTATGAGTTTATCTTGTTAAACTAACTCAACCTCAATGGTGACTAAGGCTTTTATTGTTCTATACTGTGTGTTGCTTGTCCTTCCCTGCAAGCTTAAAGTCTCTTGATTGGCCATGCTGAAAGAATTAAAAAATAAATGAAGCAATACTTTTTGTTTGTTGGTATGTATGCGTTATGGTAAGCATTAGTCATTTATAACTTGTGAGTTCTCTCTGTCATGGCCAGACAATGACATTAGCCCCTATAGATAACTGCCCATTCCCGACATGTCCATCCACTCTGGTGTCTCCAAGGTGGCCTGGCTGGCTGTGCTGCCCTGTGCTTTGGAAGCCTGACCTCCTCATTGATCCATCAGGGAGGCTGCATCTCAGTGGCACTGCAGTTTGTCCTACTCTCCTTTCTTGACTGAACACACAAAGATAAGTTAAAGATAACAGAGTCATAGGTAGAATGTATGGGTTCTGCTTCTAGCTTTCTTAAAACAGCATGTAATAATCACATTGCCTGGTGTAAAATGAAGCATAGGAGAGAGGCACTGGAAGAGGTTTATCAAGGTCGCTGAGATGCAGTCACTGAGCCAAGCTCTGGATCTATGGGTAACAGGGGGTCTGGACGCTTGCCTTTGTCCACCATTCACTGTCAGCTTTCATTACAGCTTCCCTCAAGACAGTTGAGCGTGTGTGCCCACACATTTACAAGTATGTGTGTGTGTGTTTTGCTAGTGGCGTGGTGAGCGAGAGAGAGGGAGAAGGAGGAGTGTGTCGACTCTAGAAAGTGATCACACACATACATACGCACATGTGATGCAATGGTATAGCGGCCAAAAGCGCTGTAACAGGGAGGGCAGTGTTTGTATCGACATGCCATTCATACTTGGGCCCTTTTGGCCGACACTCCACACACATTCACACACACTTGTAGGCATATGTGGAAGTGCTGAGACACATGCTCCCTCTACACACTCACACACACATACACAGAGTAAGGATTGGCTGGTGTCCCTCTCCAGCCTGGCCTGGGGAGAGCGTTGTTAACTGGGCATTCCCTCTGACAGCTGCAGCAGCTCACTCCTCCCACACACACACACACACACAGACACACACATAAAGACACAGAGTCAGAGGGCATTCCTTTGACGGCATCGGGTTTTAGGCCCACGGCCCTTTAAGAGCTCAGCTGCGTGCCTTACGCATCACAGCTCTGTTAGGGTATCATGTTCCTGTTTGTAGACTCTGGCTCTCCTCTCTGTCTGTCTGCTGGCTATATTGCATAGAGTTGGCTCCAGCTCCTCCAGCCACATAGAAATTCAATAAAACATATCAACATTCACAGTCCTGCTATTTGCACTATTCTCATTTAGGTACAGAGTCAAAACAAAGGAAACTCCAGAGGGAAATCCTCACTGCGGTGTAGGCTTATAGTGTAGCTGTGTTGTGGTGAAGTGCATTTCCTGGCAGATGGAACAAACCGAGTTATCTGTTAGAGGGCCAGACAAATTGGACTCATTGTTCTGAGCAGAACGTTCTGAGCCATCAGTTTTTTTCTCCACACTTTATTAACCCCTTCAGACCCACCTACTGCCATAGAAACAAAATGATATGCCAATGAAGTTTTACTTCTGCCCAGTAACTAAATAGACTGAACAAAAACTTAAAAGCAGTGTGCAAACTAAACCATGGCTTTTAGGGGAAGCTTACCGGTATTTAATTGTTTTTTTTGTTGTTTTTGGTTTTTTGCTTTAGTTGCAAAGAAACACTCATAGCTGCAACCATGTAAGCTTACTTGCTAAATGTCAGCACATCCATTATTTAATAATCAGTTAATGACATACAGACAGAACATTGATAATAGCCTACTTTTACACATGATTCATGATGATAGAGATACATAAAAATAGAAATACGTGGCAAAATATATCATAATGTCTGTATTTTAGTGTTAGTATTATGATTGTCAGACTCCCCAGAAGACAAGCATGGCAGATAAAATATGAATGCAGAATGCAGACCTCAAAGTCTTTAAATTCTTTAAATTCAAAGTTAATTTTAAGATTTTTCCAACCTGAAGAAAACAGGGTTTCTATTAAAATTGAATGTCCATCATATCCAAGCATACAAGTTTTTTTTATTGTCATTTACAACACAGGGCTGTATAATGAAATTTAGATATAGTTCATTTTATACTAGTTACAATACAAATAAAACTTGATTGATAATACATTTAAAAAAATACTAATTTGTATGATGAAGAGCAATTTCTATCTTAAAACATGTCTTTACAACTAATAGTCATTTACATTGTACTTGAGAGATCATTGAGGGGCGACCCTCATTTATAATGACATCCAGTCAACAAAGAAAACTTAAAAAATATAAAAACAATACCACAATTAGCTAATAGAAAGCTCAACTTTCTGATGAGGGAAGATACATTTGATTTATTTAGATACTTAAAATGTAAAATAAATACAGTTGTGTAAAATGCCCTTAGAGTTTGCTGTTAATTATTTTATTGATAAATTAAAGCAATTTAAATAAGTACAGGTATGTAAAACAATTACAAGTTGGTTGGGAGGCTTACATTTTGAAAAATGCCCAAAAGGTACAAGTGTATTGATTTTAAGGAGGTGCTGTATTTTGCTCAGTTAATTCATATTTACCTTTAGAGTGCCCCACAGAGGATGCTGAACTTCTAAATGAAGATATTCCAGAGATGTGTGATTTAGCGTGTCAGGGGTAAAATTCTGTAATTAGATTAAAGGTATTTGCTGGCACAAACTATGATATACACTGAATTTCAGATTAAATATAAATATTTGAAAAAGAGCCAGAGGAGAGGTGTAAGACACATGCATATTTTCTCACTGACTTCACGGAAGAACAGATAAAGTGGAGAGGTCCCTTAGCTTGGTCCCAGACATCTGAATTACTGGCCAATTACTGGATTTGACATCTCAAATTTTTTTCAGCATGTCAAATAAGTATCAGGCTGGTTTCTTTGATGGAAAAATGGTTTTAAGTTGATGACTGACTGAAAAAAGAGAAGAAAATGTACAATGAGAAGGTGATTAAACTGAATCATTGACCACTTGAAATGCATCCAAATGGTGCTATCAGAATCCTAATTGACCTTAAATCAGCTGTAAAATAGATTATGACTACAGTGACAAAATGGCTAAAAAGACGTATTACTTATTGTCACTTTTGAATACAATCATTATCTTAACTGGACATGAAAAAAATATATTTTGTGTTCTGCTGTTTCCTTTATTTTTACTAAACTCTGCAATTCCTCGAGCTGACCTTTACATTGTCTCATTTTCACTTAAAGCAGCATAAAGATTCATTCATTTAGTATTTGGGAAATCTTGTTTTATATGAAGCTCCTAATAGATGTTAACTGCAAAAGAAGACTGTTGGTCACTCATTTTTGTCATTTTAAATGCTACCCTTTCATGTCCATGGCTCTTGCTGTATCTTCCATTTTATACAAGGAGGTTTTACCTATTTATTTTAGGCCTCTTCATACCCTAGTAGTTCAACCCAGTGTTAAAAATATTGTCCAAAGGCTCATTCTCCCGTTTCTCTCTTTTGTGCCCTCTATCTCTCCGTTCTCCTCTTGGGACTTCGCTTTTTTCTTCTCTCCCCTCACACCTCCTCTTTTCTGCAGTCCCTTATCTTTGACGAGGTGGACCTATCGGATGCCAGCGTTGCAGAGTCCAGCACAAAGAATGTCAACAACAGCTTCACAGTGAGTGCATCTCACAGTCTTAACACACACACACACACACACACGCACGCAGGGTTTCAGTGAAGGAATCATAGGGAGAGGCACGTGAGACTGAGTGTGTCACAGTATATCACTTGTGAGTGTAGAACCAGGTATGCAATCTAGATCTCCATGTCAGTGCAATGCTGTGATAATTCAATATACTCAGATTCACGCTTATTATGCAGACTTTCTTTCTTTATTGTTTGTTTTTGTTTGGTTTAACAAATTTCCCGCTGGGGATCAATAAAGTATTTCTGATTCTGATTCTGATTGATTCAAGAGTTTTAGGTTTGGATGACTTTCTGAACCAACAGATATGGTATGGTAACACTTATGGAAGTGGCTAATGAGTGAGCCAATCATAATGTGTTAATTTGTTACAGCATCTGTAAACGCAGGACCCCGTGCAGATTTGGTTCTATGTCAATGTCACCAAAAAAACTCTGAAGGGAAGCAAATAAGCATGTTTTCCAAAGGAACTATTACTTAGATGAACATCATCAAAATGTTCCCTCCTTTTTTGTGATACTTAAATGTTTACAGCACACTGCAAATGTCAGAGTTCAAGGTCGGTTAGACAGCATACTGCTCTTAGCACTAAACACAGTCCCTGGGATGACTTAAGGTAATTTGACCAAGTTTAATAAAATGTCAAAGTTGACCCGTTGAGCCCCATTAATTACATATTTACAGCAGGTACTTGTGTTTCTTAATGACTGCATTCAATCACAGTGGACGGCACTCTGAGCCATTACGCATTCAGCTGGAGATCCATCAAGAAAACAGGATTTGCCCTTCAAGGATAATAATTCACCCAGCATATTGTACACCTGAAAATGTCAGTTCTAATGATATTTCAGATGATATTTTAATAAATTTCCCAGCATTACTCCTTATGTTCTTGTCACATGCTGCGCGTCATGGCACATCTATTGGGAGAAAACAAGCAATGTCCCTGTCAATGGATGCTTGTTCGAGAAAAGAATGAGCAGATGAGCTGGATGTGTGGGAGGTGGAGGGAAATGATCACGAGTATTATGAGCAGCGAAGACGAAAACAGACAGTGAAAGAGCTAGTAGAGCCCTGTCCTTTCTATAAATGTCTCTCCTCTCCCCGGGTGTTGCTATATTTAGAAACAAGGAGGAGGAGGAGGTTGGCAGGAGAGCAGCACCCAGAGGAGAGTACGCAGCTATTTTTAGCAACGCCTTGACATGCTTCACTGAGTGCCTGGGATGGTTTTACGACTGCCATATTCATAAATGAGATTATGTTTGCCTATTGCATGTGTGCACAGTGTGTGTTTGTTGCATGGTTGATAAACATGCTGCGATAAAGGTTTGGAGGTGAGCTTGACATGCCTTCATGAGCATCAGAATCCCACTAAGATGGTGAGAGGGAGGGGAGAGGGAGGGAGAAGGGGGGAGAGAGGGCAAGACAAAAAAATACAAAAAGGGAAGTAAGGACAATGTATAGTTGAGAAATATATGTACAGACAGTGGGAAAAAAGATAAATAATCTATGGGGAACTACTGCAGAGTGGCGAAGAGAAAGACGCAGCAAGGTAGTGCAGCAGAGGAAATCCTGGAGTGA